CTGTGTACCCTTTACCGTTTCCTTCTCATAACAGCCATATTTTTWAAGAAATTCTCAAAATAACTGCCTCAACGCAATTCTTGAAGTAATGTTAGATTTTTATCATCGATTTTAAGTTGAAATACTGAAGGAAAATTTTATTTCGATCCCACACTCCACCTAGAAAAAGTCCGATCCAAGGAGTAAATCCGGATTGTGATTTTCCACAATTTTGGAATTTGAGGTTAAAACTACCAAAATCAGAAAGAGCAAGTGAAATACGTTTCAATGGTGTCATTTGTTTTATGTTTGTCGCAAAAAAGTAAAAGTTTTACGATCATCAAATGTATGTACCCGCAAGCCACTTGTACACCATTATACTCACACCAACCCTACCTCAAGGGACTGGGTACCACGATTGGGACTTTTAGCGGCAAAARACCTGGCGGTAATTACTATACAGATTGAAGAAAACACGCACTACTACTGGATGAACGTATATAGGAATATAGGTATGTATCTGAAATAGTTTTGWTGAATAAGAATTGCAGTGACTAAATGACCTGGCGGAGGCCGGTCAAGGATTTCAAAACATTAAATAACCGGAAGTTCTATTTATTTWAAAAAAATCCGGCCCAGTGCATGTAATACATTTTATAGAATAATAGCATAGTTTGCCTTATGATCATTCATTAATTGGTTGTTTCTTTTTAATTAACGTAACTGCCGGCCATTTAGTGTTTTCATTAGGAGTGTCCAAATGACCGGCAGACCTACAAACTACTGATCCAAAACACTAGAGAGTTTTAGATTTACGTTCACGGCAAACGTGAAACGTCAGTTGACCAATAAAAAATTCTTTCAAATTACTGAAAAAGAATCGCAAAAAATTCCAAGTAGTAGAAAAACAAAAGAGTATTTGCGCTTGGTGAGAAGGTTTGTAAATAGTAAAGTAAAATACAGGAAAACTATGAAAACGTGGTCACGTTTGCCGTTTGCGGGGAGAAAAAAAGCCAATCTAAAACTCTCTAATTACTATAAATGGCCGGCAGGCAAAAACTCCAGCCCATTGAGAATTTAAGAGTATCCTTACGTGATTTAGGAGTATCCCTTCACCTTAATATAATTTAAAGGCGGACAGTAATGGTTCAAAGAGCTAGCAATTCTTTAATCAAACTGTGAATAAACGTTAGGCACGTGAGGATTTGAAAAAGGCCTACACACGTTTTGCATGTGAATGGAAACTAGCATTCCGATACAGTGAAAATATAAAAACGCGGCTTACAGAACAAAATATAGGTGAGGGCGAAAGAAATGTTAAAACAATAATGCAAATAATGCTTCAGTGTAAGTGATAGAGTAAAAATCCTCAACAGGATTTAAAGCAATCAAAACACATGCAATCAAAACCACGAAGCATATTTATATGTTYTTAARCYAATTAAAGAAATTATGAAACCGTTAACGACACTGAGGTTTACATAGAAATAAAATAAATAAATGGCAMCGCTAACCTTACCCATTTGCTGATACTTCATACAGACTGCAAAAAGTCTTCTGAATTCAAAATGTTGTTGAGTATTATATCGGGACGCGAGGAAACATTTCCGATCCGCAGCACGCTTAGAGTGGAATGACTGATCATGCTAATCAATCTCAAACCAGTGAGACCGCTGAGAAAAGAATTTTTCAGCTTGAAAAGAAGAGGGACCTTGGCCTGTGATGTGGCTGTGAGATGACCATTCAATTACAAGCTAATTAAGCACGGCTAAATCATGTAAGGCCTTAGGGATACTAGTCCTAAATCAGGTAAGGGATACTCCTAAATCAGGTGAAGGAATACTCCTAAATCAGGTAAGGGATACTCCTAAATCAGGTGAAGGAATACTCCTAAATCAGTTGAGGGATACTCCTAAATCAGGTGAAGGAATACTCCTAAATCAGGTGAAGGAATAATCCTAAATCAGGTGAAGGAATACTCCTAAATCAGGTGAAGGAATACTCCTAAATCAGGTGAATGAATACTTCCCCATACGGGGAAGACTACATCACGGGCGGAGAAGGACCCCCATGAAATACAGTAAATGTATGTAATTTGGGCTGTGAGGTGGCTWTGAGAYGCACTYTACGCCCGTGATATAGTCTATTCCTCGAAACATCTTCATTCAATCGTTAGCCAAGCCTGTTATTCTTTATTCTTTGCATTGGTTATATCATGGAACAATCGTACACGAAACCGAGGCTAATGAGGATGGATTTTTACATATACACCCGCGAGTTCGGTCTAAATACTGCAGCCGGTCATTTAGACATTCCTATATAATATATACAGTACGAGTGGCCGCGTTGTATCCGATATACAAACTCGAGGCGTAGCCGAGAAAGTGGGAAAAGAGCGGTAAGAAGAGAAGAGAAGAGAAGAGAAGAGAAGAGAAGAGAACGGAAATTATTATCAAAGTGTTCAAGTGCTTCATCCAGTCTACTGTCATGTCGTTAGACTTCGTCAATGGTGGCATATTCATCAGTAGCTCCAAGCCCTGCTAGGTTATCAACTCCTCTGAACTTATTTCGATGTTCATCTGCTACACTTTCCTCGTAAATTGGATTTGCACTCGTCATCATTATGCYTTGAGTTTCATCTTCACGGCTGTCAAAACACCAACATTATAAACACTTAATCAGTTTGTTGTCGATTARCCATTAGAAAGAGTTAGCCCTAAGACCCCTTCCTCCTCCCCCTTATCCTCCCAATTTCTCCTGCCCCTCCCTCCTTAGTCCCTGCCCCCACCACCCGACAACAACGGCCCCTGGCCTCCAGTCTCCGCTTGAYCGACCGCACCCTAGAATGAACTGCACAAATTCTAATATCTGACCATGTCTCATCTAAGAGCGATAATATGCCTGAGCCTATAATAGATTTTATTAACACCCTGAAACAATCTCACAGATTGTATTTGGAATATAGAACCAAGCTAAATAATGCGGAGGAAGGAAAACCGGAGAACCAGGAGAAAAACCCTCGAATCAAGGGAAAGACCTAACAAACCCTACTCACCGTAACCCCGAAACTCCAAAGGTGAAAGGCGAGTAGATTACCGCTACGACACCTTTATTCTTTTTGAATATGTATTTGCGCATACCTTAATGCATATACTTCATCAGTGAGTTGACATTTGGGGTCAAATGTTTCATATGGGTTGCCACCACTAGWTTATGCACAAAAGAATAAATAGAAGTATTTCAATATTTTTAGCAATGCAATTTCTGCTCATTATAAAGTCCATACTATTTTTCTTTCTTTCTTTTTTTATTTTGACCTACCTTTCGTACAGAATATTATCTGTTGGTAAACTGAAATAAAAGATTAAAAAAGAGTTCTTAACCTTGGTATAAAACAACAAATTTGAACGACAAAAATACCCTTCTATTATAGTTACTTTTAGTTATAGTTTTGGCGGGAAATTTCGCGCCAAAACGCGCGCGTACACGCCGCTTCACTGCCAGGTGCATTACTGACCTTGTTATTTGGCTCTTCATATCAACCATACTTTCCATATATACAATGTTATCTGATCCGCATCCATTCATGATATTCTGGCTCGTTTGTTCCGGAGCAGAGCGAATCCTTAGTGGACTGTTGCTTTGGCCCCTCCTAAAAAATTAAATCTTGCATTAAATTTCTTCTATTTTCAAATGAAAAATATTAACAATRATAATACGAGGCATTTGTGTCCGGATATCAAAATAGTTTTTTTAGTAAMAGTTTCTTGTGCGTTAGTACGATTTCCTATCAATGGCGGGAACATGAATGACAAGGATGAATATTTAATTGTCAACWGCTTACCTGTTCTTTTTAACGAAAATAACCACAATAAACAAACCAGAGATGACTAAAAGTACAGCAGTAGCGATAACGACAAYCAGCCAAGAGCTTAGTTCAGTTTTATCGTCTGTATATTGGTTCCTTGTTTTTGTTCCCAAAAGTTTTGCCGTAGTTGAYGTCATTTCTGAACTCGATGATGGTAATGTTGTAGGAGTTGTGGTGGCTGGCAGAGTTCTCGTACTTGGAGAAACGGTTATTACTGTAAAGAAAAACAACACGTTAGAGAAGGAAACGCAAGCAACAATGAAATATGTAAAAACAATTAGTGATATATGCATGTGGCAGACAGACACTCAGAACGAGAACCGAACGATGCATTTCCTAAAACCACACGAACTCCCTCAGTAGCAAAAACTTGGAGAAACAACCTGTTAAGATCTACATTACTTTTTACTTCTTTAATAAAAGACATTATATTATTTGGCCTTTCTTCCCGTCCCAGAAAAACAGATAGACAGATATCATTATRTAGCAGCATAGTATTGATTTAAAACAATAGAAATACTTACAGATTGGTTCTTCACACGGGCAAAGCCTTCGTATCGTTGGGTTGCCTCCTCTACCACACTGGGTAAGATGCACAGTTTCATTCAGGCCTTTAAAGCCCATACATCGTCCTTTCCAATCTCTAGATACACCGTAGTTAGGACTGTCGGGATAGTAATACCAACTCGTTTCCTCAGGCGTGGTACAAGTCACATTGATAGAGTGGAAGATGGACAATGCATTGTACGGGAATGCRCCAACCTCTATACAGGACATCCCGCGGGACGCACAGGCTGAGGTACAGTTCTCCGCGGGTCTGGCCAGGAGATAGGTCACTGAAAGTAAAGATTCATGTTATGGAGTGCAAGATGGGTAATGCATTGTACGGGGACCTCTATACAGGACATCCCACGGGACGCGCAGGCTGAGGTACAGTTCTCCGCAGGTCTGGCCAGGAGATAGGTCATTGAAAATAGAAAATCCTGATATGAACTGAACCTCGCAATTTTGTAAAACAGATCTAGATCACATATCATGSTAAGCTAACAGAAAAGAACAGGGGTAGTATGCTAACGATGGAATACAACTTGGTAGAACCAAAAGAAACCGAAATCGGATTCCCTATTAGTTCATGCCTAGAGCAGACTCACATGACTCAAAATCACTCGAGATATTAAAATAACAATGAAACAGCCGCCATGTTGGTTGATCTAACAAGAGAAGCTAATGAGAAATCCTTTGTTATCGTCAACCAACATGACGGTGGCTATGACGTAACGTGTTCCCCAAGAAAGTTTGGGGGACAAAAATCACGTTTATATATTCATTGCTAGAGCACTTCTGTTTCACAAACATTGTATTTACACTCTCTTTTTGCGGTTTTTATAAAAAAATATATTTTTGGATTTGTCACGACATGTATCCTTCAAAATTAACATAMAAATGACGTAGTTAGCTTCATCTTTCATGAATAATGCATTCAAATATATCTTCTGACACAAAAATAGTAAAGCATTTTCCTTATTTATCCCAGAAGACAGATGTAGTTAGGTTGGTCTGATAAGCCAGCTAAAAGCTACATATTATATTGTTTAGCTTGTTATTAGTGGCGCATACCGGATGAGCTATAGTTTCGCCTTTTAGCTTGTTTAGTTCTCACCTTGCTTGTCTTGACTTGTCTCTTGCACGATAGTTAACAGCAACAACAGGATAATAAAAAATCTATTAGTGCAGTTTTCCATCATCACTGAAATATTGAGCATTGAACAATACTAGTTTTAAATCACAGAAACCGATCTGATCAACCAGGTTTGTACTTTTGGAAAACGAAAGTGTCACGACGCTTGAGCGAAATGTAAAGGAAACAATTGATGAATTTAGTCATGCTTCCGTCCTCAGCAGGGAGGGCGTTGATCTTTTTCACGAGATTAGGTTTTGACAACAATGCAAACACTGAACTGTTGACGGAACTATACTGACACAATACGCAAAGCCCGTAAAATACGTAATGGCAGTTGCCATGTGACTGTCATAAGTGACCTACTGAGGTGATAGCGAGCGAAAATGTGTGGGTTYTTTTGAAGACTGATTGAAGACTTTTATTTGGGTCATTTCTTATTGCAGCCTGAAGCTTCATTGTATTCCGCGGTAGGGTTTTGTTTTGTAGGGTATTGCTTAGCTCCAAATTCATTATCATTGGCAAGAGAATATGAAGTAACTTACTTCAYATTCTCTTGTCATTGGCTATTGTTTTATTAGAGAGTTTTAGATTGACTTTTTTTTCTCCCCGCAAACGGCAAACGTGACCACGTTTTCATAGTTTTCCTGTATTTTACTTTACCTTTTACAAACCTTCTCACCAAGCGCAAATACTCTTTTGTTTTTCTAATACTTGGACTTTTTTGCGATTCTTTTTCAGTCAGTAATTTAAAAGAATTTTTTACTGGTGAACTGACGTTTCACGTTTGCCGTGAACGTAAATCTAAAACTCTCTATTGTCTTCATGCTCGCCTCAGGTGCCTTAACTGCATCAACACCAAGCAAGAATTGGGGTAGAGGACCGGTAACGCTTGCAGGATACAATACGTCACGATAAAACCACCCATTCATTTTACATGTAATAATCACTCCCAATTAAGTGGCTTCGCAGAAATAATTTACAAATCAAATAACTAATCTAAACTTTTCTAATCTGTCTAATCTAGGTAATAAAGGTACCGTTAAAAATTCAGAGGTGGGCCAGTTGAGCAAAAGAAATCACTAAATAGTTTGAGAAAGTCAAAAGTAAAAATGCAGTCTCTACATTCTAATGTCTGAATTCTATATACGGGGCCATGACTGATCGTGAGTTTAGAACTTTACACTGTGCAATCCAAGTACAATACTCAACCACGTGACAGGACCAGCTGTACACAGGGTTCCCATGTTTTCAGTATTGATGTGGGTGGTAGGGGGCGGTGTAGTAGTGTGTGGTGCAGTAGGGGTGGAAGAGATTTTGTTTTTAGTTTGTGCCGTCGATGGAGCGCC